AGTCAATAAAATTTTCATTTGCACGTTGCAATAATTAGGAAGAAAAAATATAATTAAAATCGGAATAAACATATTTTCAAAAATAAATGGCTTTTTCTATGGTGTTAAGAGGACAGATACATCTCTGTATGAATTATATGATTTATTGAAGTTTAGCAGATTTCAGCAAGCTTGTGCAAGAAGAATGTACATTTTTGGGGTCCTAAAAATATGACTATTGCCCTAAGCCTTTCTGTAGGTTATTGTTAGAATAAAAGACAGAGATTTCTTAGATTAATAACTATAGAAGGATATTACAAGAAGGTACTTTAAAAGTAGGGTTACCAGATATCTGAACAGGCAAAGGAGGACCCTAACAATTGGAAAGGAGAACAAATGGGGGGGAAAGGAGGACACACTAAGTGTCTTATATTTGCATTTACATTCATAGGAGAGGAAGGGATTACAAGTGAGTAAACAGGCACACTGGGGAATACACACTGAGAGGAATGTGCTGGTGCTGGCTATTTGCCTAGTGCTCTGGCTGCCAGCTGGTTAGGAAACAAAAGTCTTCAGCATGCAACCAGTTAAGGTGTTGTCAATTTCAGGCAGCAGTACAAGGCTGGAGGGTACTAATCAACTAGTTAAGGTCACAGAGCAGAGCTCATTAACTTGCGTTAGCACTTATTAGGGAAGCACTATGTGGTGGAAAAAAGCTGTTCAGGAAGAGATAGCTTGCCAGAATTATGTACTAGTGATGAACATGTTATTGCAAAGTTGTATAAACTTTTATTGAAACTAGAGACAGAAGATGAACACGGACTGTATTTTATTTATTTATTTATCACATTTATATAGACGCCCATCTCACACAAAGTGACTGTGGGTGGCATACAAATATCAAATAAAATAACAAATAGATAAATCAATCATAAAAGATTAAAAAGTGATTATTAAAATACAACTTCATCAAAAAGTTTTAAAAATTTAAATGCTAAATGTTAAAATATACAAACCCCACAGAGAGAGAGAACTCACAGTGGAGCCATCTAAGAATGTCTCCACTTCCCAAAGATCCCCAGGTCTGATGACATATGACTGTATGATAAAATGGGCTAAAAACTTTGGCTACAGATGGAACAATGGTAAAATATATGGCAGAAAGAACTGAAAATTACATTATGTTATAACCTAAAGAGAATTTTTATAAAATGATGTATTGTTGGTACTTGTCACCAGAAAAACTGTCTAAAATGTATAAAGGTATATTGAATGTATGCTGGAAATGTGAACAATAAGAAGGCATTTTATCATCTCTGGTGGATTTGTAAAAAAGCAGAAAAAAAAAAATGGAATGAGATACATATTTGTATACAGAAGATTTTAAAGATTAATAATCAAGCCAAACCAGAGATTTCCTTTTCGGTTTGATGGATAAACAGTTGGAAAAAAACCATGGAACTTTGTTTTTATATATGATAACAGCTGCAAGGCATATTATGCAAAGGGGTGGAAAGATAAGACATTACTTACAGTGGAGGAATGGGTGGTGAAGATGATGGAGTTGGCTGAGATGGTGAAATTGACGGCTTTGATTTGAGATAAGACATTTTAATGCTTACTGAAAACCTTCTTTGGACTTTTTGCAGGAAACAGAAAAAAATGAAATTATGTTGTATGGATTTGATGGTTAGAAATAGTACAGGTTAATGGAAATAATGGAAGTTACGTTGTAAATTTAGAGCAAGAGTTTGATGTATACTGTTACTTATATCTGTTGCAACAAGGATCGGAAGTCAATTCTTTTTTTTCTTTGTTTCTTTGTTTCTTTCTTTTCTGCACTTTTGATCTTTACTATTTTCTCTTTTTTCAATTTTCTCTTTTTTCTTCTTATTCTTCTCTTAATATTTTTGTTAGTTTTTACTGCTCCTTTTTTTAAAAAATTAAGTTATTATCTAAAAAAGGAAGAGACAGCTTGTTAGATATTCAAAAAGCTGGACAATATTTGATTTTAAGGCTATGCCTGCCAGAGAGAGGATATGAGGACAAAAATGAGAATGTGTCCTCCTTTTGCTGGATGTCTGATAATCCTGTTTAGAAGGGGAGTCTTCAAATATTAACTCCCATGAATACACCAAAGATATATCCTGCAAAATTTCAGAACTGATATGTAATTTGCACTATTTTCGATAGTGGATTGAAGTGCCAACCATCTCCATTTTTTGTCAGCAGAAAGTATTAGTATCATAAATTGAGGTCTCTGGATTGTTAGTTCCATCATAGCTCCTTAGCATCTGCAGCAGCTTGGTGCTAAACTGTGCTCCCTCCTAATTGGTGAGTGTATCAGTACACCCCCTTTCCCCTCTGGTGTAGTTAGTCTTTCCCTTTGTCAGCATCACATGCTGTTGGGAAATATCTGGATGCTTTAACATGGAAAAACAGGTTACTGCATTTTAAGGGACAGGGAGAAAATTCTAACTTAAAGGGGCAGACGTAGGGAGAGAAATGACAGTGGTGAATGCTGACAATTGACCAAGAGAAAGAGTATGTGATTACACATGTGGCACTACAGGTGCAAGTCACCCAACCCACTTCCTTCAAAAAGAAGCTGTGAAGTGTGCAGATTTAATGCACCTCATACACTTTCAGTTTAAATAAATATTTCTTATTGGGAATAAAGTGGTAACAGAACATGATAAATTCTGAGCTGAGAACTAGATCACATCACTTTGTAAATCAACAAATCAAAACTTTATTATGGCCATGGATCAGTATAAGGGTTGGGGTACAGTCAATAAAAAAAGCTGGTCATTGACTGCAATGAGGATCTAAATATATATAGTGAAAATGAAAATCTAAAAAGAATTATGAAAAGCTAGTAGATATAAACTATATAAAAATTTAAATAAAGTGAGAATCTAAAAAGGTATAGAAGGATTATTTGAGAGTAGAGAAGCATAAAAAGTTAGTACGTAGAAGACTATGTATCAAGTTACAAAGCACCCTAATATGGCAAACTAGGTATACATTAAATCTAGTTTACAAAGTTGAACCCCAACTACAAGTCATCATCTGATGTATTTTGAGCGCTGCTGCACAGAACCTGACAACATTGTATGTTGTAGCAGGGATAATATCTGAAGGCAATAGAGTGGTGTAAAATTGTCATGTGTGCCCTGGATATTTATGTAGTAATGGTAAGATGAGGCTATTGCAAATGTCTCTATAGTACAGGCACCAATGAAGCCCATGTTTCTGTGTGTCATTGTTGCTCCAAATGGAGTGTTCTTATGTCTGCCTTCAAAGCCAACTGAGGGAAAGATGTGACATTGGTATTATCATTTAATTATCCATAATTCCTTTACTCTTGGGGTCCATTCTAGATAATCCAAAATATCACAGTATCAGAAAGGGTCTCCTGTATGCCATCTAAACTGTAACTATACAGCTTTAATGACTTCAACATTAAGTGCACCTTTTCCCCCTCATACCCCCAATCAACTTTTTGTATGCCTTGCACAATGAAGATATAGCCCATGAAATGCAAATACATTGCTAGAAAATGCAAGCTCATCCTAATTCTGCAAAGTTGCCTAATACCCAAAATATTTCCTTCTGTACCTCTCTTCTCAAAATGTTCTTTGCTATGCATTTGCTTGTTTAAGTAGTGTTTTAGGAATAAATGCATGTGAACAAATGAACCACAGTCTTAATTGTTCTTGAAGGCATTGCATAGTTTGTGTAATGACATAGAATGATTGCAATGTGGGTAATATTGTTGCTCAACTCCTTACTCAATTTAGGGTTTGAGTCTGAATACTGTAAGTAACAGTAATATGAATAGCCTGCCCTCTTCTTTCTCCATCCCCATTTCTATCATATTGGTTACAAAATACATCAAATCATATAAGTGTATCACTGGAAAAAATTGATTATGACTGATTTTCTCAGCATTGATTTTTCTGTAGCATCTTCTTAAGCAGAATGTCTCTGTCACTCACATTAGAAACGAAATACAAATGTATAATACAATTACTTGGAGTTCTTTTGGCCATTCTAGATTATGTGATTAGACCATTGGGAAAAATCCCATAAGTCTGTAACATACTATGTACTTATTAGTTGGTATTTTTATCCCTCAGAATTGAAATAAAGTATGAATTGGGAAACAGAAGTTGAAAAATTGTTCATCTCCATATAAATTTCATTCCACCTCAGATATATATAATCAGACCATCAAAATGCTGTTCTGTGAGTGGCTGGACACTACTTCATATTTT